TAATATAGCACGAAAAGATGATTTTAACCCCTCATTTAATCCTGCAATGATTACAATACTTTTGGGCGCAAATTCCGCGCGAGTTGCTCAGAGAGTAGCCGATCAGAGGGCGTCATTAATTTTATTGTCATAGTAGGACTTTGCATGATATCTCAACTGATACAGTAGGGGTTCTGTCCACTTAAGTGATTGTTTACGTCAAAAAGAATTTAGTCTTTCAGGAAAGAATATTACTTGGGTAGGGGGTCTGGCGAAATACAGAAAAACCTCATAAAAATGTGATTAGTTAAGTTAGCGTGGTTCTACTTTAGTTTTTCCTCTGCAGGATTAAATTTTCAGCTGTCATCATCCGCCAACAATAACGATTTCGTTTTAAAAATCCAGGTTGTAAGCAGAGCTCTTGGTCTCCTCGAGAGTGACGGAAAGTGATAAAGTTGATGTCAAAATCATGTCCACTGCATTTGCTGCTCTGTGGAAGATATTGTTCGTTTCACACATCTATGCGCAAGGTTAGATTTAATCTAGAAGAAAAAATTGTGCGAACATTCGGTGAATTCTCATGCACATTTTTGTCGTTGAATATCTCTCTAGCTATGGTTTACAATGTGTCTTAAGTAACTCAGAAAAAGAAAAAACTGAATTTACAAAAATAACACTAAGAAACACAAAAGCGACGTTACCCTTTGCAATTATTACTGTGCTTAGCAATAAAGCGTTCGTTGTAGATTCGCAAGTTTATATGAACTGGGATGAAAACATTAAAACGAATGTTTTCATATTTTCTGCTCTTGACTGAATACTTCCTGCTCGAAGGCACGAAAAACAGTGCTTTTATTTTATTAATTTTTTTTTGCAGTATTTTCTGTCAAAATTGTAATCAAATGAATATGAAACCCTGTTTTCGTACAATCTTTGCTGGTCTAGCCTTTCCTTGTTGAATTTCCTTAATTAACGACCTTTTTAGCTGCTCTTAGCTTGATACACCCTTCCTTTTAAAGTGGTATTGATCCGGTTGAATTTCTAGCCTTCCATATAGTTAGTGATACCGAAGTAGAGGCCCTATGCTCAACCCTTCAAATTAAAATCAAATTGTCTCGCCCGTGGCGATCAAAAATTACGTGGTGGTCTTCGGCACGTAAAAATTTGTGAAGGACAAAGTCTTGCGCGAACACTCTGCAATCAACTCTCATGTCAGGTTGGAAGGCTTTTAAAGAAAGATTTTTTAAAAACTGAAAATTATCTTATATTTTAAAGGGAAGTCGTGAGTTTGCAAAGGAAATCGTTTAAGACTTCCGCAGTAAACATCTTGACTTGTTAAGAATACGCAGTGACAGATCCAAGCTTAATTAATTAACGTTTTCTTTGACACCACCTGTTTATATTTTGAAGTAGAAGATTTCTTATTGCGGGGCAAAAGACCTTTCTTCACGACAATTTTTCCTACGCAGCAGTTGACGGCAACAAATCTCTTTCATGCGAACCAGAATTCCATGACAGTTGGCCAAAAATTCAACGATTCACTTGTTTTTATTTAATACTTTAAATAATTCCGTGTTCATTAGGATGGATAACTTATTCAAGGAGAAATACCTCAATTCACCAGTGGCCTACTTAGCATAAAAATATTTATACCTGGTTGACACAGAATCTGCTGAAGAAAGGGAAACTGAATTATAAAGAAAAGCAGGCTATAGTAACAATTTTACCTTACGTGCGCATCGCCCGAACGCAGCTGGAGCCCTATGGCACATACAACTGCCTTAGATTGCTTCATGTTGGTTTTTGTGCGATCACATCATAATCAACTTGAGTTCCGTTTAGCATTTTTCATGTTTTTTATTACCAGAAACGTGCAGAATCTTGGAGTTTGTTCAACCTATGGAAGACGATTACCTCGAGAATCACGTCATTAAGTCCCTAATGGTTGATAGCAAAGATCAGTGTGAATTGAGATGTTACGCAG